GAGAAGCAAAGCGTAACCAGGTAAATGTAGATTTGCTGTGAGTTCCCCTGGGAGCCAGAGGGAACGGATTGTAATGCTGCAGCCCAGGAGCAGAGCAGGAAGCGTTAAAGTCTCATAGGGAGTCAGTGTTGTGGGGTTGGGTGTGTCTGGGGCTGCTCATGGGATACAGACCCTCCCCGTCTGATGCCAGCCCAGATCACTGGTGACAGGACAGTTTTTTTCACGGCCCCAGTCCAGTTCCTAGAGCCCAAACGGCTCCATCCCCAGGTGACCATCTCCCTGGGCACTACCTGCTGCTGCCACCGGGCATCAGAGCCCCCAAGGATTGGGTACAAGTGGGAAATGAATTGCTCTGCCCCATCGAGTGGGTCCTGCTGGCTCAGGGTGAGTTCCATGGCGAGCTGGTGGGGCTGGCCAGGCTTTCCATCACTGTCTGTGCCTCTGTCACAGAGAAGCCCCTTTGCTCCTCTCCTGGTCACATGCAGCCTCCTCTCCACACGCTCCCTCCATCTGGAAAATGCCTCCCAGGTTCCCCTGGGGCAGATTCCCCGGGGGACACAGTCCAGGCCGCTGGTGAGCTCCGGAATCCCTACCCCAAACAGCCAGGCAGGTCGGGGGAGCCCTGCAGGGGCCAGGGACACACAGGGGATCAGTTCCCCTTTATCTCATGTTAGGCGCATTGTCCCAGCCATGTCGCTGCTGGAAATCCTGCCCCAGGGGATTCACCCCCCAGAACAAGAGTCCCACTCCAGCCCGAGGGCCAGGCATTCCTGGGTCTCTGACCCTCTCCTGCGCCGGGGCTGTACGAGGGTCCCAGCGACCCATTCGTGGCTCTGGACCGGATTCCTTCATTCCGGAGCCCGGTGACTGCTGTTACCCAGCCTCCCCTGGCATTGCTGCCCAGGTCCCTGTGTCTGTGCCCCACAGAGACAAACCCCCAGCTCGTTCCATCCTGTTCAGCCTGGTCCTCAGCCCAGAGCTGGTGGCACCGTCCCTCGGGGAACACAACAGTCATAGCTTGAATCCACTCCAGCATCGCCCTCCTCTGGGCTTCCTGATACTCGTGCCCCGGTCCTGACCCCTGACCTGGAGGGACCCTCCCCTTTCTAGGGAGGGGGGAATTCAGGTACCAGCTTGTCACAGTCACTGGAAATCCAGGAGAGTCAGAGCCCCGAGTAAATCTCCCCTCGGTTAAACGTACAGCATGAGATGACTGCTCCCCGACACCCCCAGCTCAGGGCGTGATGGGGGCTGACATGGAGCGTACTAGAGCAGTTTTCCCCTGGGGGGCTCCTCCCTGGGCCGGGTTAATGCTAAGGGACGAGTCATTGACTGACTCTCCTCATTCACCTGTTGGATTCTTTCCTTTTGCAGCCCCTGGTCGATTTCCCTGTTTTCTCGCACTGTCGCCACTGCCAACTTCTCTGTCTGCAGCTTCTGTCCTCCAGAGCAGGAAACGAGTCCCTAGATGGTGGAGCTGCAGTGACCCCTGCTGGCCAATCAGATGGAGCCCAGGCACCTGATGGGATATACCCACCACTCACTCATGGCTATTGATTGCGAAGCCGCTGGAAGGACTCCTGACCGGGCTCCCTGCTCCTTTTAGCGCATTGGTTCTCAAACTGGGGGTTGCAACCTGGTTGTGTGGGGCGTTGCAAGCCCCAACCCCGGCGTGGGCTGCGAGCCACGAGCCCCAACCCCTGCGCCGGGCTGTGAGCCCCGACACCCCACTCCCATGCGGGGCTGCGTGCCCCAACCCCAGCCAGGTGCGGTGTTGTGATCCCCAACCAGGAGTGGGGCTGTGAGCCCTGAGCTAGGGCTTCCAGGACCCAGTGACCCCTGACCCGTGTACTGGAGTTGTCAGGTGGAGCCCGACCATGCAGAGGGTTATCAGCCAGGAGCGCCGCCAGGCACAAGGTTGTTAACCCTCAGCCCTGCCACACACAGGGTTGTCAGCCCCAAGCCCCGCCACCCGCTGTGAGCCCGGCCGGGCGCTTGGTTGTGAGCCACCATCATCACCATGTGCTGACCTCAGAGCCCCAAGCTCCTCCAGCCCTGCTCCCCCTCTAGCTCCACCCCCAGCTCCGCTCCGGCTCCACTCTACCTCCACCCCCAACTCCACTCCACCTGGCTCCATCCCCAACTCAGCTCCATCCCCAGCTCCGCTCCACCTCCAGCCCAGCTCCACCCCCAAAGAAAGGGCGCCAAATAGAAGTTTGCCCAGGGCGCCATTTTTCCTATGGCTTGTCCTGGTACTGAGACAACATTAGAGGGTTTGATTCTTTAGCAGCTGAACAAGTACTTTATTAATTAACAGTCAAACACACGAGCGCAAACCTCCTGAAAATAATGGCCACCTGTACTGCTAAAACCGCTAAAAAACGAAAGTATCTCATGTCTTACATTAAACTCGGTTTTACCAGTATCATCACCTCTGGTATTGAAAAACCGCAATGCGGCATTTGCTGTGAAGTCTTCTCTGCCGAATCAATGAAACCATGCAAACTGCAGCGACCTCTGGAAATTGGACATCCTGAGCCTAAAAATCAAAACGTGGATTTTTTCAAATGTAGAGAAGAAGCAACAAAGAAGGCCAGGCTTGATGTTGATGGAAGTTTCCGACAGCAAATGTCCTCAGCTGTGGAGGCCTCTTTTGTTGTGTTACTATGAATTGCCCGTACCAAACGCTGCGTACAGCACGTGAGGAGCTCATTCTGCCAGCATGCAAAGATATTATGGGTGGAAATGAAACTGCCAAAAAATGGAATATGCTTTCCATGTCTAATGATACCGTGAAACGCAGAATATGTGAGATGTCTGAAGACATCAAAAAACAAGTTGTGCATGAAATTAAACACTCTGCTTTCAGTATGTTCAGCCTGCAACTTCATGAAACTACTGATGTTACTCACGGTGCACAATTGATAGCATTCGTATGGTATGGTAATGCCGGGGATGTTAAGGATGAGTTCTTATTCTGTGAACAATTTGAAATAACCACAACAGCACAGGCCATTTTCAATCAGGTGAATGCCTTTTTCGAAAGCAATGGCATTGAATGGAAAAATCTTTGTGGTATCTGTACCGACAGTGCTCCAGCAATGATGGGTGCACGGTCTGGCTTTCAGCAGAAGGTAACGTGTGTCTCATCTAATGTGATTGTCATTTATTGTGGAATCCGTCATTAAGTCCTAGCTGCAAAGACCTTGCCAATATGCCTCAATGCTGTGGTGGATGTTGTTATATGAGCAGTGAACTATATTAAAGCTCATGCTCTGAATAGTTATCTCTTTCGAGAGCTCTGCAATGGTGAATATGAAGTTCTGCTTTTCCGCATTCAAGTCTGATGGCTTTCTAGCGCGTTTTTTTACTTCGGGAAGAGATGGCAGTTTTTTTCCTGCAAAACGAGAAACAAGCTGAACAAAAAGTTCAGTGACAAGAAATGGCTTCTCTGCTTGGCATACCTAGTTGATACTTTCGATAGCCTTAATGATCTCAGTCTGTCGCTGCAGGGAAAACGTTCAACATGAATAGACCCGACGAATAAAATCAGAGCCTTCCAGATGAAGTTGGATCCATGGGGCAGGAAGCTGGATACAGACAGATACAGCACGTTTCCGACACTTTCCTCGTTCAGCAAGGAGGAGGAAGTTAACAGTGATAGTGCTCTCAAGTCAGCGAACAGTGAACATTTGAGAGCCCTTCACAAGGAGTTCTCACACGACTTCCCAGCGCTACCAGAAGCACTTCATTCCCTGGTGAAGAACCCTTTCAGTGTGACAGCTGAGCAGTTACCTACTGACCATATTCACGCACAGAAACAGTTTGTTGACATGATCAATGATGATGCAGTGAAAGCAAAATTCACACAGCTGCCTCCAAACCAGTCCTGGTGCTCAGGTGCAAGTGAATACTCACTGGTGTCTGAAATGACCCTGGGAGTTCTGCTGTCATTTCCCACTACCTGCGAATGCACGAGTGGATTCTCCAGCCTTCTCACAATAAAGACGAAATCTCGAAACCGGCTTGATGTAAAGGACGACATCAGACGCGCCCTTTCTAAAACAACACCCAGAATAAAACTTCTTGTGTCAAATAAACAGCATCGTCCATCTCACAGGTTTTTGGCTGTTTCAGATTATTCAATGCTGTCAAGTAAAATAAAATTCTACTTAAAAATAGCTTATATTGAATTTGATAACAATGTGTTTTAGGCTTAATTTAAAAGCAGTGGGAAAAGGTCAATTCATTTTAAGCAATAGGGTTTAAACTTAGTATTTAACAAAGCAAAAAAATGCCCAGCCGGCCGGAGCAGCAAGTGGGGGGGAGGGGAGGAGGAAAACAAACCTGTCCCCGGCCGGAGCGGCAAAGGGGGGCGGGGGCAGGAAACAAACCTGCCCCCAGCCGGGGGGACAACAAACTGGCTGGAGCGGCAAAAGGGGGGGGGGCAGGAAACAAACCTGCCCCCGGCCAGAGTGGCAAAGAGGGAGGGGAGAACAAACCAGCCGGCCGGAGCAGCAAAGGGCGGGGGGGAAACAAACCTGCCCCTGGCCGGAGCGGCGGGCAGGGGGGACAACAAACTGGCCCGCCTGCCGGAACGGTGAACGAAAAAAAATAAAAACAAACAAAAAATACCTGCGGGGCGGTGGGAGCGTGGGTGCAGGGGGACTCCCGGCCCTGCAGACCCCAGGCAGCGGAGTGCACACCCCGGCTAGCGGGGGAGGGGGGAGAGAAGGGGGACAGCCAGGGCTTCCTTAAGCGGGGCGCTTGCCGCGCGGCCCCTCCCCCTGTGCCGCCTGCTGGGTGGGCTCCGCACAGCTCCGTTCGGCAGGCAGGGAAGGACGCGGGCTGCCCTACCGGGCTTGATGCAGGGCGCTCCCCTCCTCCGCCCCCTACAGGGCAGCGGGAGCAGTAAACCAAAAAGAAAAAACCTGCAGGGGCGGCCAAAGCGGTGAAGCGCAAAACAAACCAAAACCAAAAAAAAAAAAGGTTAGATGGAATGCCGCCCTTTGAAATCTGCCGCCCCAAGCACGAGCTTGCTCAGTTGGTGCCTGGAGCCGGCCCTGGTCCCTATCCCCACTTTCACGTTACAATTGTACTGGCAGTAACCCACTGGGTGAGCAAACCCCACAGGATTTTTGGGCACTGCAGGGATCTTTAGCTTAGGTACGAGGAGCGTTGCTGTACAGTAAATGGGGAAGCTAAAAACACAAAAGAGTAAAGTTCAGAGAGAGCGAGAGGGAAGCAACCAGCTTAACCATACGAGTTATTTACTGAATAATAGTGAGAACTAAGCAAGGAGCCTAAACCAACATAACAGTTCCATTATTAAAGGTTACAAAACTCAAACATAAAAATACTAGACCTGCCTGAGGTAGAAAAGAAAACAGAGAGAGAGCTGGAGCTGGGATCTCACCATTCCATGCAGGTTGAACTGGTCGGGGGTCCCAGGTGATGGTGGTAGCTGAGGGTCTGGAGTGCTGGAGACAGGCAGAGCCCCCAGCACGATCCGTCAGGAGAAGATGGAGTCCCAGAGGAACTGATGCAGAGTTTGGATCCAGGCATCAGAACACTGACTTGAACGTAGGTCGGGGGTTTTGTAGAGAAACAACAATGGTTCAAGGGAGAACACTTGGCTTGTTTATGGGTAAATTGATGACTGAAGGGTTTTCTTTAGTCTAGAGTAGATGATAGGAGCTGATCATTCCTGGCTATGGGCAGTGTTCCTTCCAGGGAGCTCACAATGCAATTAGGCAGCTTCAGTATTTTGGATGTCAATCAAGGATTCATTACTATAATGGGTCTGATAACTGCTGAGCTGGGGGTGTGCAGTCGTAGGTTCATTAACATCTGGAGCAGAGATCCCCCAGCATGCACTGCTTCCCTGCTGTTCTGGTCCCAGAGTTCCGAGCGGTTCTTGCCTTGGCCTCTCTGGTCATCTCTAGGCTAATGGAGATGCCTTAATCCTGTCACCCTTGTCGGGAGGGGTCTAGGTGTGTCTCCCACCGCCCTTCACTGCTCTCTGCCGGTCTTTTCTCGGATCGGTTTTGGTTCAAGCAGAGGCTGGGGGGGGGTGCGGGGGGCAGGGTGTCCTTCATGAGTCAGACAGGCTGGATCCTGCGCCCTGGTTCCCCAAGAACACACATAGCTGACTGGTATCAGTGAGGTCTGGGGCAGAGCACCCCCCAGCACAGTAGAAAGTTGGCGCCTGTGCCTCCCTGTCTACGCGGCTACTTTTAGCATGTAGTTTTCCGCTGCCTCCCTGCTACTGGAGCCTGTCCCCGGCCACGGGGAGCTCCTGGAGCCTGTCCCCTGCCGCGGGGAGCTCCCAGAGCCTGTCCCCACCGCGGGGAGCTCCTGGAGCCTGTCCCCGGCCACGGGGAGCTCCTGGAGCCTGTCCCCTGCCCCGGGGAGCTACCGGAGCCTGTCCCCGGCCGCAGGGAGCTACCGGAGCCTGTCCCCATGCAGGATTAGCTACGCGGGATTAGACGGGCAAAGCTGGGAAGTTCCACCCGTGCCCACAGCAATTTGGCCTGTCCATGCCAGTGATGGCTGTAGGCAAGGCAAATCCCCACGCAGGCCTTGTGCGCAGGGAGCGGTTTGTGGGGCTGTAGGCCTAGACTCTAAGGGAACTGGGAAGTCACCACAGGAAATCAAGCGAAAAGGAACACAGATAGTTAACCCTCTCAGTGCCTGCCCTACTCGTAACATCAGTCAAGCAGGAGCTGGTTGGGCACAAATCAAGCGGGATTTCAAACAACATCTCGTGTTCATGCGGACAATTAGAGATGGGCCAAAGGGCTACTTTGAATCCAAGGGCTTTATTTTATTTTATCTTTCTTGGGAATGGGGGTTTCAGGCTGGAAGCGCTGGATCCAAACCTGCCCTTGCAGTTTCAGTTCCATGTCTGAGCCAGACTGGAAAAAGCCCGTTGGATGGATCAGGTTTTGATCTGGGAGAGGGGCTCATGTCATGAGATCTCTGCAGTTTTGGCCCCATCGGACCATCATGTCGAGGAGGGCAAAGGACTGGAGAAAGTGAAGCTTCATGAAAGAAGGTGGGACAGCAACAACCGCTTTGCTGTGAGAAGCAAAGTACGTTAATAGTTAAGTCTGAACAAAGCTAGCCGCTGGAGCCATCACTAATGCAATCTACTTCCTTCTGCGGTAGGGCCAGGGGATGATCTGAGCTGGAGCCGTAAACTTCTCAGTAGCTCAACGGACATTGGAGAGCTGGCAAAGGCAGCGAGGCTGTAAGGTTTCCCCTCTGCCATCACAATGGCTCCATCAACCCAAGTGTCTGGATTGTCTCTTCCATGCCTGCTGCTGATTCTTCTCCTGGAGATCCCTGGTGAGTGCAGAACAGCAGTTTTCAGCCGGTGGTCTCTGGACCCCTGTAGCTCCGCAGGCGATGTCTCAGACTTCCAAAGGGGTCTGCACCTCCAGCCTAAATTTTGGGGGGGTCCGCAAATGAAAAAAGGTTGAAAACCACAAGTGTAGAAGCTACCCATCAACATATCTATATTGCCCATAGGGGCACTAACCATCTCGTCTAAAGTTTGTTGCCCTTCTATGAATCTTTTCTATTTCTCCTTTCCCATAGTGGCACGACAGCATTCCCTGTGTTACTGTCTGATCCAGGGCCGGCGCCAGGCACCAGCTTACCAAGCAGGTGCTTGGGGCGGCCCCTTCGGAGAGGGGCGGCACGTCCAGCTGCTCGGCGGCAATTCGGCGGATGGTCCCTCACTCCCGCTCGGAGCGAAGGGCCTCCCGCCGAATTGCTGCCGCAGATCGCGATTGCGATCGCAGCTTTTTGTTTGTTTGGTTGTTTGTTTGGCTGCTTGGGGCGGCCAAAACCCCGGAGCCGGCCCTGGTCTGATCCCTTCTTAACAGCATCGGATTTCCTCTTTCTGGCTTGACTGCTGCTGCACAGAGAGCAACGTCTTCCTTTGGCTAGCCACAGTGCTGCAGACAGTTTGTTCTCCTCTTGGCAGTTCAAATTAGCTTGTAACCCACCAGCATGGAGTTTTTAAACGGTTCCTTCCGGTTTGCATTGAGAGATGACTAATGGTGTGTTGCCATAGGAACCCTAGGTACCTCCTGGGGGAGCTTGCCCGTCCTGCTGGCAGGGCTACACCGCTATTTTGAGTGCACTCGCTGAATCAAAGCTAGTGGGGGCATGTCTCCTGCGGCTGGAAATCCTGCCCTCCCGCTCCAGTGTAGACAGACCCTTAGCCTGTCCGCTCGTTGGCGCAGTGCCCATCATTTTGCTCTGTGTTCATGCAGCACCTCGGACAACGGGGTCCTGGCCTGTGGTTGGGACTCCCATGTGCTCCCACACCGCAGATGCACAATGAAAAAGTAGTGATGAGCGCTGAGTTTGATCTGCTGGTGTGGTGCACGGTGCCTTTGTCCCGCTCGCCACATTCCTCCATTGCCTTGACTAATGGCGAGGATGCCACGCGGCTATTCAACTGCACTTCAAAAAAAGCGCTGGCCCAGCCCCATCCTAGCGCTGGGCACCCCAACATTTACCTTCTTCCCACGCTGAGCTGTGGCCGTTTGCTCTTTGCTTCCTGCTAGTGCCGTAACCCAGGGCAGCACTTCACCCCTTAGCCCGGCGCTGCCAACCATTCCTCCTTTTGAGGGGCGACAGTCAGAAAGGTTAGGAATTCCCTTCGCCTCGTCCTTTGCTAACTCCTTAAAGAACGCTAGCAGGTAACTGGGGAATCTGACCTGTCGGGCTAGGACTGTAAAGGGCACAAAGGCTCAGTGTCGCCAACTATTATGATTTTATCGTGAGTCTCGCAATATTGGGAAGTATCAGAGTGTTTCTTAGAGTTCCAGCTGCTGGAATCAGCAAACTCCCAGCTTTGCTTTGCTTTTTTATATTTTTATTTGCTTTTTTATTGTGTTTAATTTTTTAACATTTTTTAAAATTATTTTATTTTTAACTTAAGTTTCTCACCCTCCTTGTGGAGAGAAGCTGGAGAATGCGAGGTGAGTGTGCCCTACAGGCTGATCAGCCAGAAAACAAATAAAAAAATCCCAAATATCTATTTTTAATCTCCTGATTTTAAGCCAATCTCGTGATTTTGGGGGCCTGACTTGTGATTTATATTTTTAACGTTTGGGGCTGGCAATCCTGCTGTCTCGCCATTAACTAGATGTGTAAGAGACGCCCCAGGGAGCCCCTTGTCACAGGGAGATTTCTGCAGTGAGCTAGGGATGTCTTTCTTTTAATTTCAAATCCCCACTGAAGAGCCTGACTCTCTGTGAGTGAGTCTGGGAGGGGTGGCTGAGCAGTGCTTCGTCTCAGCCCCGCAAACCCTGCTCTTCTAGGAGACGTTGTGACACTACGCCCCATATTCTTCATAGAGATATGCTTATGATGTGATTATCGCAGATCTAAGATGTATTTTCTGCGAGATGGGTCATGTGAGGTATCATGGGAAAGGTTCTGATTTACTAACTATGATTATCCTATGTGTATGCATGTATCATGTCTGTATCTGAAGTTAGGAATATTGACTATGTATCCATTACAAGTGTGTTTACACCTGGGGAACGCCCCAGACAGCATGCAATCAGTCTAGATGGCTGCTGTGAGGAAGAGCCATTAGAGAGAACAATAGGTCCCAGAAGATGGTTATCACCCACAGAGAAGTCCTCCTGGGGACCCTGCAAACTAACTCTGAGTTATGGCTGCAGGGTCATGTGATCAAGTCACCTGATACTGGACTCCATAAGAATATGAGTATTTTCCCACTGACCGGGAGGTGGGAATCACACTGGGAGACCAAGGATTCCCGCCACATGTAAAACCTATTTAAGGCAGCGGAGTGTCATAATCCTGGTTCGTTCTTCGCTGGCTCCCCGCCCAAGATGAGGGCTGCAAACAGCTGCGAATCACAGCCTGAGGGGGAGAGGGGAGAAGAGCTGAGCCCAGGCTAGGAGCTGGACTAGTCTGTGAATGAAATATCTGGAGTTTTAAGCTCAGGCTGTCCAAATAAAATCTCTCTCTCCCCACTCTCCGCCCGGCCTGTTCTCTCCTTCCAGGGGCCGGGGCCCAGGAGTTCCAGCTGCTGCAGCCCCAGGGCGCCGTGTCGGTGTCAGCGGGAGAGAATCTCACTCTGATCTGCTCTGTGACTGAGCTCGGTCCAATGGGACCCGTGAAGTGGTTCAAGGGCTCGGGCAGTGGCCGCCAGCTCGTTTATGCTCAGGTGGGATCATTCCCCCGGGTGACGCGGGCTGTGAATGGCTCTGGCACAGACTTCACCATCCGCATCAGTGACACCCGCCCCGAGGACGCTGGGATCTATCGCTGTGTGAAGTTTGAGAGGGGGTCGGGAGCCGATGAGGAGTTCAGATCCGGCAATGGCACTGTCGTGTCTGTGAGCGGTGAGTGCGAGCTCCCCCCAGCCCCACGCCCTTCCCCACCGGGGGCTGGTACCAGGGCAGGGAACAACCCAACTCAGCCCAGACACTGACCGGGGAGTTCACTGAGCCGGTGTTAAAGTGGGGTCAGGGGGAGACTTTTGCCTGTACGGAGGGGGCTGCAGTACAGGAAGGACCAGGGGGAATTTCTGCACTAGCTCTGATTTGCTCTGGAGATTCCCCCCCTCCACACACACACACCTAGCTGAGCAGCAACTGCTTGTATAAGTGTGTGTGCCAAAAGCCGTGCACAGCAGGGTGGGGACCCTTTTTGCTATTTCCCCTCCCGTCTCGTGTTTCCCAACGTGGGAGACGTACGGGAGTGAACTGTTAATTTCTCTCTGCAAATCTCTCCAGCAAAACATGGACCCGTGAGGGTCTCAGCATCCCCTGCTGGGCTAGGTGTAGACTCAGATTGATCTGAGCCGGGGGCAGGGGCCTGGGAGCGGGCGCGGGATGGCTGAGAACCAGCAGTTCTCCGGTCTGGGCTGTGCCCGGGTGGGGATGCTGGGTGGGGGTCGGGCTCTGGGCAGGTACCACTCTCACACCTCACAGAAACTCCCTGGGGGCTCCTGTCCATGTACTGATCTGATACTTTTCTACCACAGGTAGGTGGCCCTTAGCCATCCCTGCTCTCTGGATCGGGCTCTTCCTGGAGAAGGTGCTGATTGCCGCCTTCCTCCTCTTCTCCTTCCTCTCCACGATGAGCAAAGGGTACCTGTCGCTTCTCTGTCGTTTGCACTGGGCAGAGCACCGGAACGAGCATGAGCGGCATTAATGCTGCAGCCCAGGGACAAAGCCCCCTAAGGAAGGGAGCGTTATGCTCTGGATGTCTCTGGGGGTCACGACTTGCTGGGCAGCCTCCGTCCTGGAGAAAGTGATTCCTAGGAAGATGAGAGTAACTGGGTCAGGCAGGGCTGGATTATGCACATGGGCGCACAAGAGCTGTGGTCTGGGCTAGGCTGGGGGGTGTCTACCAACATTGGGCAGGCAGGGGCTTCCCTTCTCCCCCAGCAATGGCAGGGCCCTCTGCCTGGGAGCAGTGGCAGCGGGGGCCTCTTCCCCTGAGGGCCAGCAGCAGGGCTGTCCTCCCCCCATCCTCCGGAGAGGCAGAAGTGGCAGTAGGACCCTCCACCCTGTGTTTGTCCCAGCAGCTAGGGGGTATCAGTGGCAGGGGCTGGGGGATTGGGCCCCCTGCACTCTTCCCCTGCTACGCAGCCTGCCTTGGGCTGCGGTGGGGTTGGCGGGAGCAATGGGCCTTGGAGAATTAACACCTCCGCTACCAGACTAACAATGATTTACCGGCTGGACGTTCTCCAGCACGGGGATGTGAGGCGCTGGTGGCCCTTTGGCCTGGGGGGCTCCTGACTGGGCTGGGTTAATGCTCAGGGAAGGGTCATTGACTGACTCTCCTCCTTCATCAGTTGGATTCTTTCCTTTTGCAGCCCCGGGGCCGTTTCCTGGTTTTCTCGCACCATCACCGCCTGCCAAGATCTCTGTCTGTGCCTCTGTCCCCGCCGGCCAGGAAACGAGTCCACGGATGCACCTGCAGTGAGCCCTGCTGGTCGGGCAGAGGGAGCCCAGGCCTGATGGGATGTACCCACCAAACTCACCCACCTCCTGATGGAGCAGCTGACAGGGAATTCCTGGCTTGGCTTCTGGCCCCTCCGCCCGTCTCTCGGCGCTATCCGCACTGACCTTCACTTCAGGGAGCAGAGCTCAAATATGACAAATTGAATTATTGATTTTATTCCTTTCAGATGGGGTGAAATGCAATTTACTCCTGTGTAACACACCGTGCGGCTGTGACCCGGGGCCCCGCAGCAGAGGCCCTGAGTCCTGCGGGTTCGACCCTGACGCTCAGACTCTGGCTCCCTGGGCTGGCAGGAGCTGGGTGTTTTGCAGATGTGACACCGTGACCTGATTGGAGAGAACTAGACATGTGCTGTCACCGCTGGGTCTGCCCTGACCAATCACGGGAGCACCCTGGAGAGGGGGGTTTTAAACGATATCGTTCCCCGGGAAGAGGCCATTGGGCCTGACTGTGGCGATCACAACACACATGTAATAAATGGAAGCCTCCCCCCGCCATTAATTACCCGCCTCTCTGTTCCGGGCAACCTCCGAAGAACAAACTCACTGCGCACGACTCCCTGGCCCCTTGGGCTGATGCGAGCAGGGAGCCTCCTGCCTTCGTGAGCGCGCAGCGGGGAATTCGGGAATCACTTCCCTTTGAAAATAAACCACATCAAAGAGGGCTGCACTTACCAGGACATGCCGAGTCCTTGGGCTGACCTACCACGGAGTCAGGGCTAATTGTCCCATGTAGTCAGTCAAGGACAAAATCAAGCGTTCTCTATGGGCATAGGCTGGGGGGACTTGGACTGAGCATTTCCTAGTGTTCTGAGAGCTGGGTTTGATGCCCACAGTCCTGAAAGCCCTGGGGAGCGGGCGGTCCCTCTGCAGCAGCGACCTTAACTCCCCCTGAGTGAGGTGTCTGTAAGTGACGAGCTAATGCAATGGCTGATCAGTGTGTTGCTGTCTGTATTGCTTATAAAGGACCACTGCTGTGCTGCGGGCTACTCGACTAACTGGTGCGGAGCTGGGGGCACTGGGCGCTGAAGAATGGGTTGTGGGGCAGAGTTGATGGGCTGGGGCAGAGGTCAGGGCTGGAGGGCACGATATTAACTGAGGTGGGGTTGGGGGTGCAGAGCTGATGTGGGGGCTGGCACATGAAATTAATTGTTGTCAGGATGCAGTGGCCAAAATTGTATCCCCGGCTATAAACTGGCAACACTATGTGACATGCACACATGGGGTGGGGAGGTGTCAAAAATCAGAAGATAGCTCAAAAACCATTCATCATTTAAAAAAAAATCATAATTTTGGGGGCTGTCTCCTGATTTTTGGGGTCTGACTCAGGATGTTTTGAATGTTGGGGCTTAGCAATACTGCTGTTTTCACAATACTGCCAGCCCTCCTCATTCCTTGGGCTCAAAACAAACACCCCCAAATGACCCCCGCGTGGCTGTGGATGAGAATCTCCTTTGCTAAGCCTGTGCTAGGTGCTTTCCTGCCCTGCTGAAGGGTTTAGTTGGACACCAGAGCTCCCACCGCCCCGTGGACTCTAGGGGAGGGTGTTTAAGCACTGGGAGCTTGGGAGGCTTGAAGCACTGGGTCTGAGGCAGCCAGACTGTGGGGTCCCACTGCCCTCAGAAGGGGGTCAGACATGGGGCCTGCACCTGAGAGACCCAAAGCTAGGATCAGGGACCAATCTCTGCCCAGATCCAGGAGCTCATGGACTCAGGGTTTGGCTCCATTTGCAGCAGACTGGTGTCCGTCCACAAGAGGGGCCAGGATGGAAGAAGAGTGGGAAGAAAATATGGGGTTGGGGGAATGAAACCCCATGTGCAGAAGAGTCCCCTCTGCTCATGGGTCTCACCCTGCTTGCCTGGAGGGCCAGGTCAGCTGTGTCTGCAGCACAGTCCCCCTGGCCACAGAGAGCATCTGCCAAAGGTTTGGAGTGGAGAAGGTTGGGGGTGGGGGCTGTGTAATCTCTACCACAGCTCCCTTCCATACTGGAGAACCCTCTTATCGGAGCACTAATAATTCACCGCAGGCACCTGGCTCGGGTAACTGAAACGGTGTCACAGCCTGATGTGGGTAGAATGGGGATGAGGAAAAGAATCTGGTGAGAAATAAAAGCCCAAAATAAGGTGAAAATGAAACAACTCGCTGGCCCGGCCGTTAATAACCAGCCTCTGCCTTAAGCAGCATCAGATCCTGGAGGTGGCCATACTGGGCTGTGCTCTGGGCCCCGGGGGACATGGGAACAGGGAACACAGACCAGCTATAGTGATTTCTTGTGCCTTTTCTGCTGCTTTGAGCCTTGGTCTGAAACCTCCTGCCTCTGGGTCCTAAGAAGGCAGGACATTTTTTGCATTTACTTCTGTATTAAGATAAGCTGCTCTGAAGGTACCTGAATTCACCCCCAGATGTGCAGAGTCCTTCACTTGCCCTCCCCCGATCCCATTGTCACGGGACGTATTGCAGAACAGAACTGCAGTGTGACCTGCTCTTACTGCCCGTTATCTCCCGGGACCTGGGTGGTTGTGTGCTGCCGGGGAGAGTGTGCAAGTCTGGGTTCTGTTTGTGGAAGTGTTTCCCCCACTGTGGGAACCGTTTTACTGACCACCTTCATGTCTGCCTAGGGACTTTGATGGCCCCGCCACAGTGGTATTGGAGCAGCTCACAAACGACTGATTGTAGTCCCTATGCCTGAGTTCTCTACCTTTGAGGGGCTGGGCCTGTATCCTTTTGGCACCCTGGGAGGTAGGCTGAGGTTATTATGCCCATTGTATGGAAGGAGAACTCAGGCTCAGAGAGATCAGGGCCAAAATGTTCAAAAGCATCCCCTGATTTTGGAGTGGCTCCGGTCTGGGGCACACTCCAGAGAGGGCATCATTCGCATGGTGACTCCCACTGTGGATGGGGTGTTCAGTGTTTCTGAAAACTGGGCCCAACCTGGGCCCCCAAAACCAGTGGCTGCTTTTAAAGCTCTTGGCGTGAGTGGTTTGTCTGTGGAGGCCGTGAACTGAGCCTTCATCCCCTGAGCTTGGTGGAGCCGGGGTCCTGACGCACCCCAGGAGAGGAACCGTCCCTGTCTCTCCCTCCCTTGGCCCAGCTCCTGTGATTGGGGTTCAGATGTAGGAGGGGTCTGAGCACCCAGCATAGGATCATAGAATATCAGGGTTGGAGGGGACCTCAGGAGGTTCTAGTCCAACCCCCTGCTCAAAGCAGGGCCAATCCCCAGACAGATTTTTACCCCAGTTCCCAAAATGGCCCACTCAAGGATTGAACTCACAACCCTGGGTTTAGCAGGCCAATGCTCAAACCACTGAGCTATCCCTCCCCCCAGCATAGACCTTGGTGGGGCGGGACCCACGGGCAGGTTTATGAACTGGTGGTCCCTGCGTTTCCATCTTCCCTCCAGCAGAGGGCAGCGTGTCCCGCCTGCGCCCGGCCGCAAGCTCCCGCCCAGGGAGCGGCAGGTGGCGCTGGGCGCCGGCAGGTGGCGCTGTGGCGCGCGTTTCCGCACGGAGGGCTTTGAGTGCTGCACGCCCGGCCCGCCAGGCGCGGCCTCCGGCGCGGGCCGGGGGGTTTGGTCGCTGCACCGGGAAGATGGCGGATCGGCAGGAGGCGCTGAGGGAGTTCGTGGCCGTGACCGGGACCGAGGAGGAGCGAGCCCGCTTCTTCCTGGAGTCCGCGGGCTGGGACCTGCAGGTAGCGCCGGGCCGGGGGCAGGACCGGGGGCCGGGAGGCGGCTGTGCCGCCGGGGGAGGGGCCGCCGCGGAACCGCACCGTCATCCCGGCAGGGAGGGGACCCTGCCCCCCCCCCCCCAGGCCCCGGCCTCCCCTCCCCCCTTCGGCTCCCCCCCCTTCT